AGCGTCTCTTTAAAGGCGCATATCTCAAAAACTACGGTAGCTATCGAAAAAGTGTCAACTACAAAAATGAAGCTCTAGTTTTGCTAAGTATATTTTTGTTGTTCAAAAAAATTCCAGAACTTTTTTTCAGCGAAGAAATTCTCATATGTTTTCCTAAATTGAAAATTGATGGAAAATTCTAGAAAATTTATTTTTATGGTTTTCTAGAAGATCAAAAACATCCACAGAAGACGTTAACGATGAAAAAAAAATTTTTTGGAATAAGAAATTCCGGAAGAGAAAAAATTTTGGGTCTTCAGAAGACACCAGAAGACGATAACGTCTTCTGGAAGAAGACGTCAACGTATTCTTCTTGTTTTCAAGAAGACTCTTGACGAATTGAATAAGTGGGGGAACAGAAGGTAAGAAGAAGACATCCTTCTTCTTCCTCTTTTTTTCTTTTTTTTTTTGGGTCTGAAATTTTTTTTTCAGTCAAAAAAAAGAAAAAAAAAGGGAAAAATCCCTTCTTTTGGTGTAAAACACCAAAAAAGAAAAAAAAGAAAAAATGTTTTTTGGAGTGGAAACATAAAATTCTGAATCCGAAGGATTCAGAATTTGTAATTTTTATGAGAAACATCGAAAAATTTGGGGGGAAAAAAGGAAGAAAATCAATGATCTGGAAATTCTAGAACAAAAAGGGAGATCTCAGAGATGTCCCAAAAAAAAATTTGAAAAAAAATTAGTTTTAGGATTTTAGAAATTTAGGATTTCAGAATTTTAGAATTCTTGAATTTTAGAATTTTAGAATTTTTTAGAAATTTAGAAATTTAGAATTTTAGAATTTTAGAATTCTAGAATTTTAGAATTTTAGAATTCTAGAATTTTCGAATTTTAGAATTTTAGAATTTTAGAATTCTAGAATTTTCGAATTTTAGAATTTTAGAATTTTAGAATTTTTTAGAAATTTAGAAATTTAGAATTTTAGAATTTTAGAATTTTTAGGAATTTTAGAATTTTCGAATTTTATAATTTTTTAGAATTTTAGAATTTTGGAATTTAAGAATGTTTAGAATTTTCGAATTTTAGAGTTTTAGGATTTTAGGATTTTAGAATTTTGGAATTTTAGAATTTTAGAATTCTAGAATTTTCGAATTTTAGAATTTTAGAATTTTAGAATTTTTTAGAAATTTAGAAATTTAGAATTTTAGAATTTTAGAATTTTTAGGAATTTTAGAATTTTCGAATTTTATAATTTTTTAGAATTTTAGAATTTTGGAATTTTAGAATTTTTAGAATTTTCGGAATTTTAGGATTTTAGAATTTTAGAATTTTAGAATTTTAGAAAAAAAAAAGTTTTCCTGATATTTTGCATAGAGAACCCCCATGAGGGGTTGAACTCATGACATGCAGCTCAGGGGTACAGAGCCGCTACCGGCTGAGCTACGGGGGCGCGAAGGCGCCTGACGACCGATGGTCTACATAAGCGCGGCGCGATTTCGTCTCCCGAACTGCCCCCAAAATTTTTGCTGTCTCGCCTCCTTTAAGCTTCGAATTTGAAAATTCAAAAAAAAATCTGGATTTTTCAGGAAAATATCAGAATTTCGATAGTATAAATCAATAGTATGAATCAATTTTTTGGAAATTTTAAAACATTTGAATCTTTCATTCAAGGATTTTTTGGGTCCTAAAACACCAAACATCCTCCTCCGTATCCCATTTTTTGAGCTCTTTTTTGGAGCCCTTTTTTGGAGGATACATGAAAGAAGTGAACCTTTTTTCATTCTTTTTTTGAATTCAAATACTACAACTTTTGTTCAAGTGTAGGTCCCTGGTCCATGGTCCCAGGGTACACTTGAAAAATGGCCAACAAAAAAAAACTCATTTTGTTCGAATTTCTTTGAATTGAAATTTCATAGAAAAATTGTAGATTTATTTATAGGTCCAAAAATCTTGAAATTTGAAAAAATTCCCAAATTCTGAAATCCAATAATTTCTAAAATTCTGAAACTCTAAAATTCTAAAATTAAAAAATTCTAAAATTCTAAAATTCCAAAATACTAAAATTCTAAAATTTTAAATTCTAGAATTCTAAAATTCCAAAAATTCTGAAATTCCCAAAATTCTGAAATCCCGAAAATTCTAAAATTCCAAAATTCCAAAATTCTGAAATTCCGAAAATTCTAAAATTCTAAAATTCCGAAAATTCTAAAATTCTAAAATTCCGAAGATTCTAAAATCCGAAATCTCTAAAATTCTAAAATTCTAAAATTCTGAAAATTCTAAAATTCCAAAATTCTAAATTTCTGAAATTCTAACATTCTAAAATTCTAAAATTCCGAAAATTCTAAAACACGAAATCTCTAAAATTCTAAAATTCTAAAATTCTAAAATTCTGAAAATTCTAAAATTCTAAAATTCCGAAAATTCTAAAATACTAAAATTCCAAAATTCCGAAAATTCTAAAATTCTAAAATTCCAAAATTCTAAAATTCTAACATTCTAAAATTCTAAAATTCTAAAATTTTAAAATTCTAGAATTCTAAAATTCCAAAAATTCTGAAATTCCGAAAATTCTGAAATCCCGAAAATTCTAAAATTCCAAAATTCCAAAATTCTAAAATTCCGAAAATTCTAAAATTCCAAAAATCTAAATTTCTGAAATTCTAACATTCTAAAATTCTAAAATTCCGAAAATTCTAAAACACGAAATCTCTAAAATTCTAAAATTCTAAAATTCTAAAATTCTAAAATTCTAAAATTCTAAAATTCTGAAAATTCTAAAATTCTAAAATTCCGAAAATTCTAAAATACTAAAATTCCAAAATTCCGAAAATTCTAAAATTCTAAAATTCCAAAATTCTAAAATTCTAACATTCTAAAATTCTAAAATTCTAAAATTTTAAAATTCTAGAATTCTAAAATTCCAAAAATTCTGAAATTCCGAAAATTCTGAAATCCCGAAAATTCTAAAATTCCAAAATTCCAAAATTCTAAAATTCCGAAAATTCTAAAATTCCAAAAATCTAAATTTCTGAAATTCTAACATTCTAAAATTCTAAAATTCCGAAAATTCTAAAACACGAAATCTCTAAAATTCTAAAATTCTAAAATTCTAAAATTCTAAAATTCTAAAATTTTAAAATTCTAAAATTCCGAAAATTCTAAAATCCGAAATCTCTAAAATTCTAAAATTTTTGAAATTTTCATATCTACCAAAAAATCGAGATTTTTCAATCTCTATTTTTTGGATTTCTCAATTTCAATGAAGCTAGTTTTTTAAAGTAAAAAAAAAACTGCAAAAAAATTTTCAAGCAAAAATAATCTGGAATTCAGAAATTCCAGATTTTTGTGCTCTTAAACATGGTATGCCAGTTTTTTAGTATTCAAAAAACTGCGAAAAAAATTCTAGTGTTTTTCAAATGTCAATTTTTTGCAGAAAAGCTAAAAAATTGACGAAAAAGGCTTAAAAATGCTTAAAATCAAGAAAAACAAAAAAAATGAAAAAAAAAGGAAAAATAAATAATTCACGAAACTTCAGATTTCTCCATTTTCAGCGTCCCCAGAAATAGAGGATTTCAGCAACTGAAAATTTGCTTAAAAATTGCTTAGAAACTCTACAAACCTAAAAATCTCAAAATTTTCAGATTTTCAGCCCCAACAAGAGGTGTTCAAGTCAAAAATTAGCTTTAAAAAGACTCTAAAAATGTTAAAAACTCAAATTTTCAGATTTTCGGCTAGAAATTGTCTTTAAAATTCAAATTTTCAGAAGAAAATCTATTTTCTAAAAAAAAACTGAATGCCAAAAAAACACATCAAATTTGCATGAAAAATGAGCCCCGTCCCCCATCAAAAAATGCTCCAAAAAAGAGCACCAAGACAAGTTTTCGCTGTGGTTTTTTCCGTTTTTTTTCGGCCCTTTTTTTAGTTTTTCCCATAAAAATCTTTCGTTTTCTAAAATTCTTTTTTTTTCGTTTTTTTATTATTACTCGTAAAAACCAAAACGAAATCTACTAAAAATCCTCAATTTTTACTACTTTCTGGGATAATTAAAGATGGGAACCGTGCCTAAAATTATAAAATAACGGGGGGAATAATCTAAGCTCTAAAAATACCAAAAATATCGACAAAATATCGATTTTTCTGTTGAAATTGGGATAAAGGCATCGGGAAGACTGAGAGGCAGTCATGAGACAATCAAAAATGAACCAAAAAATCGGGGGAAAAAAGAACAAAAAAATTATGATCAACTTGAGAAAAAATGAGCTGAAAATAGGGGAAAATTGAGCTGAAAATCTGGAATTTTCAGCCAAAAAATCAAAAAATTTCAGATTTATTGAATATTCAGACTCTTCTTGACGGCCTTGACGACGTGCTCGGTGGTTGGAAGGGCGGCTTGCTCGAGACTGTGAGCATATGGCATTGGGACGTCCACACCGGTCACTCTGCAAAAATTAAGCATGAGCAATAGTCCAAATTTTGAGAAAAATCAGAATTTTCGGGTTAAAATAAGCATGAGCAATGATATTTTATGACAGTTTCAGACAAGTTTCAGACTAATTCCAGGCCGATTTTAGCTGATTTTTTGGACTAATTTTGGGCTATTTCTGACTGATTTCGGGCCATTTTAAGCCAATTTCAGAACAATTCTAGCCCATTTTGGAACTATTTCAGGCCAAATTTAGACCGTTATAGACCGATTTTTGGACAACTTTGGGTCATTTTAGACAGATTTTAGGCCGAATTCAGGCTATTTTAGGCTGATCTTAATCATTTTCAGACGTTTCCAGGACAATTTCAGGCATGTTTTTAGCCGGACTAAATAGGCCATGTTAGACCGATTTTGGGCCGTTTTTGGTCTATTTTAAGATGTTTAAGGCTATTTTAGACCGATTCTAGTCCCAATTCAGGCTATTTCACGCATAAATTAGGTGAAATTTAGGCCTATTTTAGGCTAATTTTGAACCATTTTTCAGCCAAAAAACCCCCCAACAAACCTCAAAAGCGGGGCATCCAACTGATCGAACACATCGCTCTCCATGACCTGAGCGGCAATTTCAGCACCAATTCCAGCGAATGGCCATCCAGTCTCCACGGAAACCAAATGGTGCGTCTTGTGGACCGACTGACGGATCGATTCGAAATCGAATGGGCGGAGCGATCGGAGGTTGATCACTTCCGCCGAGACGCCAATCGATTCGAGTTGTTTCGCGGCTTCGAGGGCGAATTCGACACCACGGGAGTAGGAGACGATCGTCACGTGGTCTCCGGATCTCTCGATCTTGGCTTTTCCAATTGGAACGACGAAATCGTCGGAGAGCACTTCGTCGGACACTGGGAATGATTGACCGTAGAGAATCTCGTTTTCCAGGAAGACCACTGAAAATTCAGAGCTTTAAGGATGAGCAATGATGGGATTATAGGGGGTTTGGGATAAAAATTGGGGGTTTAGAGGTCCTGAGACCTCTAAAAACGCCATTTCAAGGTGTCAACTTGGAGCTCAATTATCTCGGCTCCTATAGGAGATATCAAAAATCTTTCAACTGATAAAACGTTGATCATGATATCAGCAACATTTTATCAGTTGACAGGTTTTTGATATCTCTTATAGGAGTCGAGATAATTGAGCTTTAGTTTTTGGGCGTTTTCGAGGTTAAAATTGGTCCTGAAACCTCTAAAAACGGTCACAAAGCTCTCGAAATGAGCTATGCGCCTTTAAACTACCGTAATCCTATCTTTTCAGTCTGAGCTCAATTAACGCATCTTAACCGCCAAAAAAGGGGATTTTTAAGCTCAAAAATGATCCCGACTCTTCTGAAATGGCCTGGTAGCTAGTAAATTAGGGGTATGCGCCTTTAAAGTACCGTAACCCTATCCTTTTAATTTGAGCAAACTTTCACAGCCAAAATCATGGTTTTAGAGCTTAAAATATGTCTCGAAACCCCTGAAAATGACCCTAAACCCTCTAAAAAATAGGATGTGCGCCTTTAAAGCCACATTTTCTCAAATCCAACTTCATATCAATCGATTTGTCTTGTTGAGAGCTTCAAAATGAGCTTCGCCACGACTAGGCTCCGCAAACTTTGATTTTTCGTGCGCGCGTCGCGGTCGTGCGTCGCGTGTCTAGGCGAAATTTCAAAATGGGCGGAGCCTAGTCGTGTTTGGGCTCATTTTGAAGCTCAGAACTTCCTGAGCTCAAAAATTCAAGTTTCAAGCAGCTTGGGACATATTCTAGAGATCAATTTTAACGGTTATGGGCCATTTTTAAGGGTTTCCGGACCAATTTTAGCCTCTAAAACCCTTAAAATCCGCCTAAAAACACCCCCGGCACCCTCATTCTTACCCGGATTATCATCACGAATGGCGGCCTTGAGCAGACCCTTGGCGTCCTCAGCACTGTATGGTGTTAGGACCTTCAGTCCTGGACAGTGAGCATACCATGCCGAGTAGTCTTGCGAGTGCTGAGCAGCGACTCCAGCGGCGGCTCCGTTTGGTCCACGGAACACAATTGGCACGGGGACCTGGAAATATGGTGGTCTTAGGGCGGATTTCAGCTAATTTTAAGGGATTTTCAGCCATTTTTAGACTATTTTCAGCTAAATTTCCGCGATTTTCGGTCTAGAAATCGTGATTTTCGACCTTTCTAGAGCGTTTTTGAGGATTTTTCATTCAAATTTCAGTCATTTGAAGGGGATTTTCAGTCATTTTGAGCCGATTTTCAGCCGTTTAAATGTGATTTCCAGCTATTTTCAGGTAATTTTCAGTCTTTTCTAGATGATTTTCAGTCATTTTAAGCCAAATTTCAGCCATTTTCAAGTGATTTTCAGTCATTTATAGGTTACCTAAAGTAACTTACTTTTATCAGTTTTAAGCCGGTTTCCACCCATTCTTAGTTAAATTTCAGTAATTTTCAGGCGACTTTTATCTATTTTTGAGTGATTTCCAGCCATTTTCGGGCGATTTTCAGGCTTTTGAAGCCAATTTTCAGCTATTTTAAGCCAATTTCAGTCATTTTCAGGTGATGTTCAGCCATTTTTAAGGGGGCATTTTCAGCTTTTGAAGCCGAATTTCCAGTCATTTCAAGTCATTTTCAGCTATTTTCAGCCATTTCAGCCATATTTCAGATCAAATTTTAATGATTTTCAGACACTTTCAGAAAACCCCTTTCCAATTTTTCCACTATTATTTTGATTTTTTATAAAAAATTCTCCAAATTCAGCCAAACAAAACTATTTATCACAACAACTGAACTGATAACAACGGTCAGTGATCACGAAATGTTCCACGAACTTTCTTATCACTGATTATCAACAAATTTGCAGGAGGGCGGTTGTATGGATGGGATGGCGTGAGAAAAAAAAACAATAGGAATCATGTGAAAATCACGTGATAAGTCCTCTTATCACTGATAATTCCGAAAACGGCCTGCAGAAGCCTTCAAAAAGTCTGAAACTTTAAGATTCAAAATTTTCAGACAATTTCCATCAAAATGAGTCCTACTTCTAGATTTTCAGACTTTTAGACCCTGAAAACTGTCCAAACTGTCTTAAAACCTAAAATTTCAGATTTTTGAACTTATAAGCTTTGAAATGAGCCCGAACACGACTAGACTCCGCCCATTTTTAGATTTTCTTCAGACACGCGACGCGTCTGGTGTCGTGTTTGGGCTCATTTTGAAGCTCGAAACCTCGGAAATACGAAATTGAGCTTCAAATTCGCCCAACAATGACAGAAATCCAATTTTCAGAGCTTTTTCAGCTGAAAATGTCGATAAAATCCAAATTTTTGAAGCTAAAAACGCCGAAAAATTCCCATTTTTCGCTGAAAATGGTTTTTTTTAAAGCTTACTCTTCCAGCAGACATATAATACGTCTTGGCGGCCGAATTGATGATCTGATCGATGGCTTGCATTGAGAAATTGAATGTCATGAACTCGCAAATTGGACGGAGACCAGCGAACGCCGCGCCGACAGCGATTCCTGGAAAAATCGATTTTCATCTCATTTTTCATCATTTTCACCTCCAAATCATCATCTGAAACAGCTGAAATTGGGTCTAGAAGCCCAGAAAACAGCTTAGGTCAAATTTAGACCATTCTATATTAATTTTAGGGCAAATTTAGGCTATTTGAAGCCATTTTAGACAGATTTGAGGTCAAATTTAAGCCATTCTAGACCAATTTCCGGCTATTTTAGGTCATTTTAGACCAATTTTAAGCTTAATTTAGGCTAATTTAGGAAATTTTAGCCATTTTTTTTTTGAAATTTTAGCCATTTTACAACGAATTTAGGTTATTTCAGACAGATTTGAGGTCAAATTAGGTCATTTTGAGTCACATAAAGGCTAAATTTAGGACTTTTGAATTGATATTAGGTCAAATTTGAGCCATTTAGACCAAATTTAGGCTATTTTATGTCATTTTAGACCGATTTCAGGCCCAATTAGAGCCATTTTGAGCCGAATTTGGGCCATTTCAGACAGATTTTAGGTCAAATTTGAGTCATTTCAGACCAAATTTAGGCTATTTTATGTCATTTTAGACAGATTTGAGGTCAAAGTAGGTCATTCTAGACCGAATTCAGGCCGTTTTCTGGTTGATTCAAACCATTTTAGTAGGATTTTAAGCCATTTTAAGCCAAATTTGGGCTATATCGGGCCAAGGATCATTCTGGACCAATTTTTATCATTTTCAGCCAATTTTCAGTCAAAAATCGCCATTTCCCTCACCAGCGAAGCCCATTTCAGTGATTGGCGTGTCGATGATGCGCTTATCACCGTGCTTCTTCCATAATCCCTTGGAAATCTTATAGGCTCCGTCGTATTGAGCAACCTCCTCTCCCAAAAGGAAAACTCGATCGTCCCGTCTGATTTCCTCGTCCATCGCCTGGTTTAGAGCGTCACGAACGGTCATGGCTGCAAAAATCGAGGGGTTTAGAGCATTTTTGGCTGATTTTGAGCAATTTTTCGTGTTTTTTTCGATAAAAATCGGTCAATTTAAGCCAAAAAGCGGCTTTTTCGATGAAAAATGAGCCAAAATTCAGCTTTCTAGGCTGAAAATGGACAAGATTCAATTTTGGCTGAAAATTGCGATTTTCGAGCTCAAAACATGGAAAATTTCCGTTTTTGAGCTCAAAATTCAGTTTTTGAGACTAATTTACAGCTATTTACAGCCAAAAATCGCTGAAAATGAGCCAGAATTGATCTATTTTGGCAAATTTTAGTTTTAGGTGAAATTTTCAGAATATTGGAAATTTTTAGCTGAAAATGACCGGAATTTTGATTTTTCGAGGTATTTTTGATGATTTTTGAGTCTAAAAACTTTTTCAAAATTCCAAAAATTCGAAAAAAAAAATTTTTTTTTTCGCAATTTTTTTCAGTTTTTTCTTGATTTTTCATGATTTCTAGGCTATTTTTCGTCATTTTTCAAGGATTTTCGGCTTATTTTCAGCCTAGGACACCCCAAAAGCCACTTTTTCCCAACTTTTTAGCTCCAAAATCATCATTTTTCGAAAACTCCCCATTTTTTCTCAAATTTTTCCCAATTTCTCCGAATTTTCACTTACTCGACGCCGCTCTAGACGATTGTCCTGCTAGACCAGCGACGAAAAGATTTCCGCACTTTCTCAGAGCCATTTCGAATAGGGATTACCTGAAAATCGGCATTTTCAGACCTAAAATCTCGGATTTTCGATGATTTTCAGGGTTTCAGACCTTCAAAGTCAAGATTTTCACCCTAAAATTAGCTATGACGTGCGAAAAATCGATGAAAACGCTTAAAAATTAGTTGAAAAGTAAACAAAAAGTTTTTGAGGCGCGCAGCTCCTCAAGGCGTCCGCAATTTAATGTCGCCGTGTTTGCGGTCAATGCGCATGGGGAAGGGGGCGGAGCTTGTCGACCGTAGTCGCTAGTGCTCTTTGAGCAAGAAAGAGAGGGGAAAGGGGGTGTTGGGAAGCGGTTGCCATGGGAATAGGAAGAGGGGAAAGAGAAAAATAGAGTATTTTCACAGAAAATCAAATTTTAAGGCGAGAAATGTCGTATCGTGAGCTTCGTAGTGAGTTTTTTGCTTTAAAAAAAAATTAGAAACATCGATTTTCCGGGTTTCTAACCAATTTAAAGACGATTTTAATGCAAAAATCAGCAGAAAACCGTTGTTTTTACCCCTAGAAGCTTATAAATTATTGATTTCCCAATGTTTTTCACTTTTATGCGAATTTCGGAACACTGTGGCCTAGAAAACCAAAAATGCCTTAAAATTGCGTTTTTCAGAGTTTCTATGCCGAAAATAGATAACAAAACCGAAAAATCAATCAAAAACCACCTAAAACGTCTGAAAAATCAGTTTTTCAACGATTTTTCGACAAAAAAAAGAGGAAAAAGGTGGTGGCCTAGAAAACCAAACATTACAGATCTCTGTGAAATGACGAGAACACTTCGTTATCCCCGTTTGATGTCGATTGAGAACTTTCGAAGCCCCAATTTTCAGCTGGTGGCCGAATTATTGGAGTGGATTGTGAAAAAGTGAGTTTTTGGGACTTTTTGGGCGCGAAATTTGAAAATTTAAAGGCGCTAGAGTGAAAATAGCGAAAAAATGAGCAAGAATCTTAAATTTTTTCAAAAAAAAAAAACTTTTTTCTTTTTCAAAATTTTTGAATTCCCGCCGGATCACCGAAAATCACAAAAGGGGCGGAGCCTAGTCGTGTTTGGGCTCATTTTGAAGCTTACTTAGAGCAAAATCCGGTTTTGATGTGTTTTGCACTTCAAAATGAGCCTAAACACGACTAGGCTCCGCCTATTTTGAAATTTCCTGAAAGCACGCGACGCACGACCGCGACGCGCCCGAAAAATGAAAGTGGGCGGAGCCTAGTCGTGTTTGGGCTCATTTTGAAGCAAATTTTCTGAAAAATCTGAAAATCTTGTTTTTGAAAGAATTGGACCACTTTTTAGACCAGAAAAGATGGATCTGAAAATTTAGAAAAAAAATTTATTTTGAATTTTTTGAATTCCCGCCGGACCATCTCAAATTTTCAGATTCGAGCCAGATGCATCTTTAGATGCCACTTCGATTTCTACAGAAGCCGAGAGAGTGGAATTTGTCAAAAATGCGGTTCTCCTGATGCTCCAGAATTCGAGAATTAAAATGAACCCCAAAAAGTTGTATCAGGTGCGGAAATCTGGATTTTCGGACACACAGACAGATTTTTAGGCCGACGGACATGCGGTACAGGAGCTGCTGCCAGCGCTGAAAATCCTATTTTCAGCCAAATCCGAAGAAATGGATTCTGGACCAAAATGGAACCAAATTAAGAATAAATTGTCTTCAAAGGTCTGAATTTCAGAATTTTAGAATTTTAGAATTTTAGAATTTTAGAATTTTAGAATTTTAGAATTTTAGAATTTTAGAATTTTAGAATTTTAGAATTTTAGAATTTTAGAATTTTAGAATTTTAGAATTTTTGAATTTAGAATTTTTGAATTTTTTTTTCAAAATTTCCAGATGCAAGAGGTGCGTATCACTCGTCAACTATCCAATCAGCTACCGGAAACTGGAGCATTGCTCAGCGAGTTACTGTCAAAACAGGAATATCTTAGCAATCAACACGAGAAGGCCGCTGCCAGGAGCATACCATTGGCAGAAGCCGAGAAATTGCTAAATGCGACGATTCAGGGCATTGCTCAGGATGCTGAGCAATTGGCTGTAGGGTTTTTTTTGGATTTTTCAGAAAATTTAGAACATTTTCTCAGTTGGAATTTTTGTTCTAGCTCTTCTGGGAGCTGAGATACACTTTATAGCACAAGAGAGCACTGTGAATTGCGAGAGCGCAGAGAAATCTAGCTTCTCTGTGTCTCTCACACCTCCCCACTGTCTGGCAAATCTCTAAAAGTTCAGCAAACAGAGAAAAAAAAAACGAATCTGGAGGTATGGGGAATCGAACCCCAGACTTCTCGCATGCAAAGCGAGCGCTCTACCCCTGAGCTATACCCCCCACCCTCTTCTTCGAAGTGAATGGCGGTTATAAAAGGGAGGAAAATGGGAGATTTAGGAAGTGTCGTAACTTTGGAAGGAGAAGAGATGCTGAAAAATTTTCAACTAATGAATTGTTGGAAATTTTATGCTGAGCAATTTTGTAGTTGACCACTTTTTTGTAGGTGACTTGGTTTTTGAGATATAAACGCTGGAAGTTGGGGTGTCCCTTGGCCTTTTTTCAGCAAAAAACTCTCCGCTGGAAGTTGGGGTGTCCAAGGGCCGTTTATGAAAGAGAATTGGGAAACATAGGTTTTACATCAGGAAATTTGGTTTTGTGAAATTTATAAAACCGATTCCGGAGATTAGGTTAAAAAACTAGAAAGATAGTAGTTTTTCAAAAATTCAAAAATGTGAGAAAATTCCGACAAAATATTACTCAGCATAAAATTTTAAACATTTTTGAAGTTCACAACTTTTTTCTAGCTACTGTAGTTTAAGAGATATGCGCTTTTAAACTACCGAACGCATAAAAAGGAAGTGCACCTCTTTAAAGGCGCATAACTCAAAAACCACGGCAGCTATCAAAAATTTGTCAACTACGAAATTGCTCAGCTTAAAATTCTACATATTTTTGTAGTTGACAACTTTTTTCTAGCTACCTTAGTTTTTGAGATATTCATCTTCCAGAACAAACTGAACAATGTGGCAAGCGACGAGGCGGAGCTAGATGAGAAAATCGAGCGGAAGAAGCGAGAATATGAGCAGTTACAGAAGAGATTTGCTAAATTACAGGTTACTGAAGATTTGGATTACTGTAGAAAAATGGCTCATTTTCAGGCATTCCGTCCACAGTATATGGATGAGTACGAGAGATTCGAGGAGCGCCTTCAGAAACTTTATGAGGTGATTTTTCAGAAAAAGTTGGATATTTTAGAATTAAAACTTGAAATTTACATTTTCCAGGTTGTGAGCTTTAAAATGAGCCCAAAAACTACAGAAATCGATCAATTTTTGAGAATTTTAGGCTTAAAAATCTTAATTGAGCCACATCTAGGCATGTTTGGGCTCATTTTGAAGCTTAGAAACTGAGGATTTCACTTTTCAAGTTTTATAATCCAATTTCTCACAACTTTAGCTTCAAAATAAACCCAAACTCGACTAGATTCGAGTAACTGAAATTTCAGACGCGCCGCGGTCGCGCGTCGCGTGTTTTGGCTGAAAATTCAAAGTTAATAGATTTAGGTCGTGTTTGGGCTCATTTCAAATCTTGCAAATTCAGAAATTCGACTTTTCAGCTCTGAAATCAAAATTCCCGCAATTTAAGCTTAAAAATAGGTTCTAAAATCCAAAGTGTCAAAAGCACCAGTGTTTGGGGTCATTTTAAAGCTTAGAAACTAAGAAATTTGAATTTTCAACTACAAATTTGAATTCCTCATAGTTTCAGCTTTCAAATGAGCTTAAACACGACTAGGTTCGAGCAATTTCGAATTTTCGAGCGCGTCGCGGTCGTGCGTCGCGTGTCTTGGACGAAAATTCAAAGTGGGCGGAGCCTAGTCGTGTTTGTGCTCATTTTAAAGCTCAAAACTTAAAAAATCTAAAAAACTAGCTTTTAAGTTAATTGAATTATTTCGAAGCGTTTTATGGTCCAAAGTTTTTTGTCTAAAAATGTTTTAATTTTTTCGAAAACTTCAAAATCAACGAATGCTAGTCACGTTTGAGCTCATTTTGAAGCTCCTTTTCTCCTGAACTCAAATTTGTTACTTTCAACGCTTAAAACCTTCATTTTCCAGGTGTACGTCTTAAATTTCCGAAATCTGGCGTATCTTCGAAAAGTGCACGATGATCTGGCACGATCTGAACGTCAGAGACAAGAAGAACTGGAAAAAGCCATGAGATTGACTGTTGAAAAAATGCGAATGGAACAAGAACGAAAAGATGCGATCGGTTTGGCTGATGACGATACAGATGCGCCTTTAATCGATAGACGACAGTGTAAGTGATACAGTAATCATCAAAAAAGTCGGCTTACAAGTTTAGAAACTTGATTTTGGAGTTGAAAAACGAATTCAGCACGTCGAGTGCTTGAAAATGAGCCCGAACACAAATAGGTTTGGTGAAGTTTGAAATTTCGGGCGCGTCGCGGTCGTGCGTCGCGTTTCTAGGTGAAATTTCAAAGTGGACGTAGCCTAGTCGTGTTTGGGCTCATTTTGAAGCGCAAAACTTAAGAAACCGGGAAAGTGTGTTGATGACACTATTGGACCATTTTGAAGCGTTTTATGGTCCAAAAAATATTTTTCTAAAAATCATAAAAAAATGAATAGGCTCTGAAACATTCAAACCTGAGCCAAATACTTCGAAACAAATTTTTCTGAATTTGGGAAAATAAGAGCTTCAAAATGAGCTCAAACACGACTAGGCTCCGCCCACTTTGAAATTTCACATAGACACGCGACGCACGACCGCGACGCACCCGAAAAATCAAACTTAGCCGCACCTAGTCGTGTTTAGGCTTATTTTGAGGCACAAAAGCTAAAACCCCCGAAAAATTTAACTTCAAAGCGTTTGGATTATTTTGAACAGTTTTATGATCCAAAAACCTTTTGTCTAGAAAACTTTGAAAAAAAAAACAAATTAGCTCTAACACATTCAAACCTGAGCCAAATGCGTCGAAACTGCATTTTCTGAGTTTGGGGGAATGAGAGCTTCAAAATGAGCCCAAACACGACTAGGCTCCGCTCACTTTGAAATTTCACCTAGACACGCGACGCACGACCGTGACGCACCCGAAAATTTCAAACTTAACCGATTTTAGTCGTGTTTAGGCTCATTTTGAAGCTCCTGACGTGAGAAACTCGAATTTTCATATTTCAATTCCTGAATTTCAGCGGTCCGCAAGGTATACGGTAACATGATGGGCGGCGCGGTGTCAGATGACGATGACGACGATGATGAAGACGATGAAATCATTCGAATGGAGGAAAATCCAAAATTAGCTGCGAAAACCGCTAAAAGTGTTGATACCGAGGAGGAAGAGGAGGGCAATGATTATATGATTGGGGTGAGCAATTACAGTAATCCAAAAAAAAAACTTTTTCAAAAATTTATTTTTCAGATCAATGTGCCACGTGGTGACGATGCAAAATCGGATTTGAGCAGTGGAGATGATTTTTGATAAATTGGATTACTGTATTTTTCAAATTTTCAAACAAATGAATGAGTCGTCGACCGTCTTGCTGAACTATTTCGTTTTCTGAAATTATTGATTTTTTGTTTTTTTTTTTGAGATTACTGTAGCTGAAACTTACGATTTTGATCGATCAAAATCGGTTTTCAGACAATACATGTAGAGAGGGACCGTGGGAAATTGAAGGAGATAAATTATATAGACGATTGCGTCGGCCTGGAATTGATGTTTTTAAAATTTTAGGACTCAGAAATTTGAACTTAGAAGATTATGAGCTTCAAAATGAGCCCAAACACGACTAGGCTCCGCCCACTTTCAAACTTCGGGCGCGTCGCGGTCGTGCGTCGCGGTTTTTTGGGAGAGAGTCAAAATTGAATGATTTGCATCGTGTTTGGGTTCATTTTGAAGCTCGTAAGCCCAGAAATTCAGAAATTTTTATTTCAAATTATTTGGTTCAGGTTTAAAAGTTTTAGAGTCAGTTCTTTTTTTTTCAAAATTTTCAGGCAAAACAGATTTCAATCATAAAACGCTTCCAAATAGTCCAATTGAGTCATGGGCGCATTTTTTAGGTTTCTTAAGTTTTGTGCTTCAAAATGAGCCCAAACACGACCAAGCTCCGCCCACTTTGAAATTCCACCTAGACACGCAACGCACGACCGCGACGCGCGAGAAAACTCAAAGTGGGCGGAATCTAGTCGTGTTTAGGCTCATTTTGAAGCTCTTGAGCCAAGAAACTGAAAAATTGCAATTTCAAATAATTTTGCTCAGTTCTAAACGTTTAAGAGCCCTTTTTTTCAAAAGTTTCCGACAAAACAAATTCGGATCATAAAGCGCTGGTGGCCTAATAGTCCAATTGACTCATAAACGCATTTTTTGGGTTTTTCAAGTTTTGCGCTTCAAAATGAGCCCACACACGACTAGGTTCAACCCACTTTGAAATTGCAGCAAGACACGCGACGCACGACCGCGACGCGCGAGAAAACTCAAAGTGGGCGGAATCTAGTCGTGTTTAGGCTAATTTTGAAGCACACGATGAGCCAAATCTAGTGAAAATGCGCAAAATTCGGTATGAGCAAGTTAAAGCCGAGATTTGAGTCTTCTTGTCCTGTATTCATGTGTGTTTTTATAGGAAGGTGACGACCGCTTAGCTAGTACGTCTCGTTGCATGTGCTGGTACACACACAGTGGTGGACAAGTGTGACGTTCTTCTGACCTTGAGTATCTACTGTCTGCCACTCTCTCCTTCTCCAATACTCCCTCGCTCACGTCTCCATCAGATAATAGGCACTTGCTTACAAGGAATTCGATAGGAAAGGTGAGCATTTCCAAGTGTAATCGGTCATTTTTGAACTTGAAAACACAAAAATTCAAATTCCTCACAAAAATCTACACCAGAAACCATGAAAAAACGTAAAATTTCATGGTGGCCGAGTTTTTGAATTTCCTAGGCCACGACTTAAAAAGTTAGGCCATGGTGGTTTTTTGATTGTTTTTTTACGGTTTCTAGAGTAAATTTTTGCCAGAAATCCAAATTTCGTGTTTATTTGTGTCTATAATAATTGGAAACTTCGGAAATCCTCAAATCACGATTAGGCTCCGCTCACTTTTAAAAATGACATGTTCTGGGTTGATAAATTGTAGGTTTTGTGTGAAAATTGTCTTTTTTTATAGCTTGAGAGTGCAAAAATCCAATTTTCCATCAAAAACTACCTCTAAAACCATGAAAAAACGTAAAATTTCATGGTGGCCGAGGTTTTGAATTTTCTAGGCCACCAATTGGAAAGTTAGTCCATGATGGTTTTTTGATTGTTTCTGGGCTAGTTTTTTGCGAAAAATTTGAATAACGGGTTTGTTTTGTGTGTAAATCGTCTAGAAATGGAAAAAAACGCATACTTTTAACTCGAAAACATGACTACTTTATTGAAGCTTATGGCTGTTAGGGAACAGAAATTCAAATTTTCCAGTGAAATCATCCATTTTCGAGTTTTAAACTACAAAAATTCAGATTCCTCGTGAAAATCTACCCTCGAAACCAGGAAAAAACTTAAAATTTCATTGTGGCCGAGTTTTGAATTTTCTAGGCCAACATGTGAAAAGTTAGACCATGCGCTGTTTTTGGTGGCGTCTAGGGTAGATTTTTATGGGAAATTCGAATTTTGTGTTTATTCGCAGTCAAAGGGCTTTCTTACCTATCAAAATTCGAAAATTTTCTTGGTGGCCGAGTTTTTGAATTTTCTAATTTTTCTAGGCCACCATTTGGAAAGTTAGGCCATGATGTCAAAACTTCGGTTTTTTATTGTTTCTAGGGTAGTTTTTTACGTAGAACTCAAATTTTGTGTCTATTTCCAACCAAAAGACTTCCCAAATTGTCAAAATTCAAAAAAATTCAACAAAGAGTACAAGTGTTCCAGATTGGACGAGAATTCCGAAAATGCGCCATGCATGAACGACAAACTGGCCAAAGGAAATGGAGCATTCCTAGGACAAGCCGTCAAAAAACATGAATGCCTCGGGGAATACGTCGGAGATTGGAGGAATTGATTCTGGAGAAAGCGATTACAGTAAGAGTCTCAGTGTGATTCCCCTTATTTTTTAATAAATAAAAGTTTTACTTGAAAACAGTCTTATTGTTCTCAACTTTTCAGATTTCCTCAATTTCAGAATCTTTGGATTTTTATAAAAAATTGTAAATTATCAGATATCCAAAAAACGAAGAAAAGTCAGAAATCCAACTTTTCACCTCTTTTTTTATAATTTCGAATTCCTTATTCTAAACTAAAAGTAATCTTTCTAGATTCGGCTTGTCAAGAGCTTCAAAATGAGCCTAAACACGACTAGGCTCCGATCACTTTGATTTTTTGTGCGCGTCGCGGTCGTCGCGTCGCGTGTTTTGGGGTGGAAATCAAAATTGAAGGATAATTTGCATCGTGTTTGGGCTCATTTCAAAGCTCTTGAGCTGAGGAACTCAGAAATGTCATTTTCAAATCATTTGGCTCAGCTTTAAGCGTTTTAGAGTAAATTCATTCTTCTCAAAAATTTCAGACGAAACAATTTTGGATCACAAACCGCTTCTAAATGATCCAATCGACTGATGAACGCATTTTTTGGATTTTTCAAGATTTGCGTTTCAAAATGAGCCCAAACACGACTAGGCTCCGCCCACTTTGAAGTTTCACCGAGACACGCGACGCACAGCCGCGACGCGCCCGAAATTTCAAAGTTAAGCAAACCTAGGCTTGTTTAAGCTCATTTTAAAGCTATTAACTTGCCAATATAGAATTTTGAATGCAAAAATCAAAATGGGCAATTTCAGAGCTCCACAATGAGCCGGAACACGATCGAATTTCTAAATTCTCAAAAAAAAGTTGTGTTTTTTTCTCGAAAATAGTTATTTCTAGGGGTTGGCACATAAACATTCAAAGTTTAGAGGTTTTGAGCTTTAAAAAAACCTTAAACACAACTAGGCTCCGCCCACTTTTAATATTCACCAAGACACGCGACGCATGCCCGCGACGCGCTCGAAATTTCAAAATTAAGCAAACCTAGGCTTTTTTAGGCTCATTTTGAAGCTCTCAACTTGCTGAGTTTAGTCTGTAAATGCCAAATTCAAATTTCCCTAGTTGAGAGCTCAAAATGAGCCCAAAAATGCCTACTTCTGTAAATTTTCCCCCCAAAAACTCACTCTCACAAATTTCCGGCGAACATTGAAATCAGGGGTCTCTCGAAAATGATAAAATTCATCAATTAACTGTAGAGAATAGTTGGGCAAATTGAGCAATAGGGTTACTGTAG